AGCAACAGACATAAAACCTGAAATAACTGACATAAACAATGCGCTGTCACTGTATACCAGTGTTTCTCAACTCCAGTCCTCATGCACTCCCAACAGGTCATGTTTTTCAGGATTTCCATTATTTTGCACAGGTGATTTGATCAGTTTCACTGCCTTAGTAATTACCACAGCTGTTTCATCTGAGGGAAATCCTGAAAACATGACCTGTTGGGGTTCCATGAGGACTGGAGTTGAGAAACACTGCTGTATACTGACACTTTCACGGTCATTTGATTTTCAGCCGTTGACACCCTGTAGGCACATAATTCGACTTGTAATTGTTTTTTGCACGCTTGTTGTGGCCAGAATGACTGCAGATGGATCTTATCTATAGGAGCTTTGTCCCGGCTGTAGACCTAAAGCCGGCCATAGATGGATCCGAATTCGGCCAGTCCAGAGGGAACCGGACAAAACCTCGATTCATCTATGGGTAGGCTGGTTGCAGTGAAGTCGATTTATCGATCGACTTCAGTCCAGCCAGCCTGTCAGGTTTTTTTCTTAATTCGATCACTTCCAGCAGCTAGCTTCAAGCAGTGATCGTAGCAGGGGCGGACTGACCAATTGGAAACTCGGGCACTGCACGAGGGCCCGGGGTCAGTAGGGGGCCCCATGAGATGCCCCTGGTACCTTTTTCATAGGCTTTTTTGAGTTTGGGCAAGGACACAGGGGCCCCATGATCCCCTATTGCCCGGGGGCCCCATGAGTTGTCAGTCCGCCCCTGGATCGTAGTATTCTGATGGCAGGGAAACCTCCCGCTGTCAGAATACAATAGCTTTATGGGAGGGATTCCCCACCAACCCTTACCCTAGGTTCACACCTATGCGTTTTCCACAGCGTTTTGCAGAAACACACTACCATCCATTTAACAAGATTTCCTATGGGACACGTTCACATCTGCGCGTTTTCACCCGGTGATTTTTTTGGAAAGGGTCGAGGACTTTTTTGAACGCAAAACATTGCGTTTTTGGTTCTATAGACTTCAATGGGAACGCTGCAGAAAAGCATGAATTGCAATTTTGCTGCATTTTTTGATGCGTTTTGCATTTTTAAAATCTGCCTAGCAACAAGAAAGAAAAATGAAAAAAAAAAAAGCGCATTAAATGTAAGTGCAAAACGCAAAGCAAAACGCATCAAACGCAACCTGCATAGGTGTGAATCTAGACTTAGGCGGGCCATACATGAAACAAATTTCTTTCCTGCAACCGTCTATGGCCGGCCTTACTGTGTTGATGGGGGAATCGAGCAATTCTCTTTGTCCACCCATGGTTGGAGGAAAGAAAAACGTGGCAAAAACGCAATACATGTTTTTCTGCATTCCTTCGCTGCAGAAACGCATGTATTACGTTTTTACCACATTTTTGATGCATTTTGAGTTTAAAATCTGCCTAGTAACAAGAAAGAAAAATTTAAAAAAACCGTGGCAAAAATAAATATGCAAAAACGTAACGCAAAATGCATCAAACGCAACCTGCATAGGTGTGAACCTAGACTTAGGCAGGCCATACATGGAACAAATTTCTTTCCTGCAACCGTCTATGGCCGGCCTTACTGTGTTGATGGGGGAATCGAGCAATTCTCTGTGTCCATCCATGGTTGGAGGAAAGAAAATTGGTTAATGTATGGCCTGCCTAAAAAAAATCCCCACATCAACACACACACAATGTGGATGCAGGGATCACCCCCGCCGCATTATTGTATTCTGGCAGGGGGGACTCCCCACCATCAGAATACACAGATCAGAGCTCGCAGCCATTGGCTGCAAGTGCTGAAAGATTTCTGGTTTTCCAGCGTGATCGCTCAATAGAAGCCAGTTGTAAGGCCGGCTTTTATTGAACAGACAGCGACACACACAGACCGAAATGTGTGTACCGGGCTTAAAGGCAAAATGTTTTTTGTCAGGTGTTTATTGCTGTCTGTGCCCCCGTTAGAGAGCCCATTCACACTTGTGCGACTTATGTGACTTTAGGGTAGTCAGAGCCCATTCACACTTGTGCGACTTATCATGTGACTTTAGGGTAGTAAGAGCCCATTCACACTTGTGCGACTTATCATGCGAATTTGGGGTAGTCAGAGCCCATTCACACTTGTGCGACTTATCATGTGACTTTGGGGTAGTCAGAGCCCATTCACACTTGTGCGACTTATCATGTGACTTTGGGGTAGTCAGAGCCCATTCACAATTTGTGCGACTTATCATGTGACTTTAGGGTAGTAAGAGCCCCTTCACACTTGTGCGACTTATCATGTGAATTTGGGGTAGTCAGAGCCCATTCACACTTGTGCGACTTATCATGTGACTTTAGGGTAGTAAGAGCCCATTCACACTTGTGCGACTTATCATGCGAATTTGGGGTAGTCAGAGCCCATTCACACTTGTGCGACTTATCATGTGACTTTGGGGTAGTCAGAGCCCATTCACACTTGTGCGACTTATCATGCGAATTTGGGGTAGTCAGAGCCCATTCACATTTGTGCGACTTATCATGTGACTTTGGGGTAGTAAGAGCCCATTCACACTTGTGCGACTTATCATGTGACTTTGGGTTAGTAAGAGCCCATTCACACTTGTGCGACTTATCATGTGACTTTGGAGTAGTCAGAGCCCATTCACACTTGTGCGACTTATGCGACTTTGCAGTAGTAAGAGCCCATTCACACTTGTGCGACTTATCATGCGACTTTGGGGTAGTAAGAGCACAATCACACTTGTGCGACTTATACGACTTTGCAGTAGTAAGAGCCCATTCACACTTGTGCGACTTATCATGCGACTTTGGGGTAGTCAGAGCCCATTCACATTTGTGTGACTTACCATGCGATTTTGGGGTAGTAAGAGCCCATTCACATTTGTTCGACTTATGCGACTTTGGGGTAGTCAGAGCACAATCACACTTGTTCGACTTATCATGCGACTTTGGGGTCCCAAGCCACATAACAAGTTGCGCCCCATGTTTCCCAATGAGTACCATTCATATATTTGCAACTTCAAGTCACAGCGACTTGAAAGCAGTTCCTACACTACATTGGTCTGACTTTCATGCGACTTGAGGGCCATAGACTTCAGTTTAAACCCTCCAAAGTTGCGTGACAGTCGCACCTGAATGATATACACGTGACTTGTGTGCGACTTTGCTGAGCACGAACAATCACGCGGTCTACTCTTTGACTCCTGTGCCAGCCCATCCAAAGTCGCACTGTAAAGTCGCAGGATTTTGAAGCCACACAAGTGTGAATGGAGCCTAAAAGTGAAAGGAAATCACCAGAGCCGGAATAGAGGGGAAATCTTCCAATGGGGAAACTGGTTCTGGGAATTTTTCACATTTGCTTCCTGTTTTGGCTGGAAGTGGAAGTGGAGGGAAATCTCCCCAACATAGAGGGGGGGGGGGGACCTAACAGGGGTTATAATCCTCCCTTACTCTACCCAAAAAGGAAAAAAAGTTTTGCCTTAGCGGCTCTTTCAGACAGCTGGCCGGGGCCATGAAAACAGGTGGCTAAGCCATGGTTTTACCGCCCCTGGTTGCCCACCCTTGTAACATTACAGCCATGGTTGTACACATGGCATGACTGTAATGCTGTTCTTCAGAACTGCAGCATTTTTTCTAACTCGGGGTGCAGAATTTGGCAAGCCAGACTGCCTCTCAAATCGCCCACTGAGTTCAGTCATGCCGCAACCACACGCATTTGTTATATGGTAGTCAGGGGCGGACTGACCATTTGGAAACTCAGGCACTGCCCGAGGGCCCGGGGTCAGTAGGGGGCCCATGAGAGGCCCCTGGTACCTTTTTCATAGGCTTTTTTGAGTTTGGGCAAGGACACAGGGGCCCCATGATCCGATCCCCTATTGCCCGGGGGCCCCATGATGTTGAGGAGGTGATATAATGCCCACTCAACGCCTGTTAAATACCCTCTGAAAATCGACCTGAATGTGGATCACTCTTCGGGGGGGGGGGGGAGCACTGCAAGTGTGAAAGAGCCCTTTAAATGGGAACCTACTGCCATTTCCAATGTTTTATTTTTCCTTTAAATTGGGAACGTGATCTGCTATCAGTCTCAATGATGGGGCACTATTCCTCCCACTGACACCAATGATGGGGCACTATTCCTCCCACTGACACCAATGATGGGGCACTATTCCTCCCACTATTACCAATGATGGGGCACTATTCCTCCCACTGACACCAATGATGGGGCACTATTCCCCCTCCCACTATTACCAATGATGGGGCACTATTCCCCCACTATTACCAATGATGGGGCACTATTCCTCCCACTATTACCAATGATGGGGCACTATTCCTCCCACTAATACCAATGATGGGGCACTATTCCTCCCACTGACACCAATGATGGGGCACTATTCCTCCCACTGACACCAATGATGGGGCACTATTCCTCCCACTATTACCAATGATGGGGCACTATTCCTCCCACTATTACCAATGATGGGGCACTATTCCTCCCACTAATACCAATGATGGGGCACTATTCCTCCCACTGATACCAATGATGGGGCACTATTCCTCCCACTGACACCAATGATGGGGCACTATTCCTCCCACTGACACCAATGATGGGGCACTATTCCTCCCACTAATACCAATGATGGGGCACTATTCCTCCCACTGACACCAATGATGGGGCACTATTCCTCCCACTGACACCAATGATGGGGCACTATTCCTCCCACTAATATCAATGATGGGGCACTATTCCTCCCACTGACACCAATGATGGGGCACTATTCCTCCCACTGACACCAATGATGGGGCACTATTCCTCCCACTGACACCAATGATGGGGCACTATTCCTCACTCTGACACCAATGATGGGGCACTATTCCTCCCACTGATACCAATGATGGGGCACTATTCCTCCCACTGATACCAATGATGGGGCACTATTCCTCCCACTAATACCAATGATGGGCACAATTCCTCCCACTATTACCAATGATGGGGCACTATTCCTCCCACTGATACCAATGATGGGGCATTATTCCTCCCACTGACACCAATGATGGGGCACTATTCCTCCCACTGACACCAATGATGGGGCACTATTCCTCCCACTGACACCAATGATGGGGCACTATTCCTCCCACTGACACCAATGATGGGGCACTATTCCTCCCACTGACACCAATGATGGGGCACTATTCCCCCCACTGACACCTATGATGGGGCACTATTCCCCCCACTGACACCAATGATGGGGCACTATTCCCCCCACTGACACCAATGATGGGGCACTATTCCTCCCACTAATACCAATGATGGGGCACTATTCCTCCCACTGACACCAATGATGGGGCACTATTCCTCCCACTGACACCAATGATGGGGCACTATTCCTCCCACTGACACCAATGATGGGGCATTTTTTACTCTCAGTGCATTTTCCACTCCCACTGGCCACAGTCCGGTCCCCTCACTGTCTGAAGGACAGTAAAGTGGCCCTTTGTTTGGAAAGTATGGAGACCCCCGCCCTATACAATCCGAGTGAATGAAACTTCTGCCCAGAGAGTTTTAGGTAACAGGAGATTCTTATCATCATATTAGCATCATCTAGTGGCCAAATGTTGTAATGTGCAATTAGTTTTCTGTCCCATTCAGGGGCGGACTGACAACTCATGGGGCCCCCCAGGCAATAGGGGATCATGGGGCCCCTGTGTCCTTGCCCAAACTCAAAAACACCTATGAAAAAGGTACCAGGGGCATCTCATGGGGCCCCCAACTGCCTCCGGGCCCTCGGACAGTGCCCGAGTTTCCAAATGGTCAGTCCACCCCTGGTCCCATTCACTCAATGAACATGCTGTGCAAAGTTTTTTTTTATCCCCCACTGTTAGAATGTTGCTGTCTACACGAGTGAACTACTACATACACTTTTCATCATGATTGTTAGTGTGATGTAACTAGACACGTGCAGAACTTTTTTTTTTTTTTTTTTTTTTTTTTTTTTTTTTTTTTTTTTTTTTTTTTTTTTTTTTTTTTTTTTTTTTTTTTTTTTTTTTTTTTTTTTTTTTTTTTTTTTTTTTTTTTTTTTTTTTTTTTTTTTTTTTTTTTTTTTTTTTTTTTTTTTTTTTTTTTTTTTTTTTTTTTTTTTTTTTTTTTTTTTTTTTTTTTTTTTTTTTTTTTTTTTTTTTTTTTTTTTTTTTTTTTTTTTTTTTTTTTTTTTTTTTTTTTTTTTTTTTTTTTTTTTTTTTTTTTTTTTTTTTTTTTTTTTTTTTTTTTTTTTTTTTTTTTTTTTTTTTTTTTTTTTTTTTTTTTTTTTTTTTTTTTTTTTTTTTTTTTTTTTTTTTTTTTTTTTTTTTTTTTTTTTTTTTTTTTTTTTTTTTTTTTTTTTTTTTTTTTTTTTTTTTTTTTTTTTTTTTTTTTTTTTTTTTTTTTTTTTTTTTTTTTTTTTTTTTTTTTTTTTTTTTTTTTTTTTTTTTTTTTTTTTTTTTTTTTTTTTTTTTTTTTTTTTTTTTTTTTTTTTTTTTTTTTTTTTTTTTTTTTTTTTTTTTTTTTTTTTTTTTTTTTTTTTTTTTTTTTTTTTTTTTTTTTTTTTTTTTTTTTTTTTTTTTTTTTTTTTTTTTTTTTTTTTTTTTTTTTTTTTTTTTTTTTTTTTTTTTTTTTTTTTTTTTTTTTTTTTTTTTTTTTTTTTTTTTTTTTTTTTTTTTTTTTTTTTTTTTTTTTTTTTTTTTTTTTTTTTTTTTTTTTTTTTTTTTTTTTTTTTTTTTTTTTTTTTTTTTTTTTTTTTTTTTTTTTTTTTTTTTTTTTTTTTTTTTTTTTTTTTTTTTTTTTTTTTTTTTTTTTTTTTTTTTTTTTTTTTTTTTTTTTTTTTTTTTTTTTTTTTTTTTTTTTTTTTTTTTTTTTTTTTTTTTTTTTTTTTTTTTTTTTTTTTTTTTTTTTTTTTTTTTTTTTTTTTTTTTTTTTTTTTTTTTTTTTTTTTTTTTTTTTTTTTTTTTTTTTTTTTTTTTTTTTTTTTTTTTTTTTTTTTTTTTTTTTTTTTTTTTTTTTTTTTTTTTTTTTTTTTTTTTTTTTTTTTTTTTTTTTTTTTTTTTTTTTTTTTTTTTTTTTTTTTTTTTTTTTTTTTTTTTTTTTTTTTTTTTTTTTTTTTTTTTTTTTTTTTTTTTTTTTTTTTTTTTTTTTTTTTTTTTTTTTTTTTTTTTTTTTTTTTTTTTTTTTTTTTTTTTTTTTTTTTTTTTTTTTTTTTTTTTTTTTTTTTTTTTTTTTTTTTTTTTTTTTTTTTTTTTTTTTTTTTTTTTTTTTTTTTTTTTTTTTTTTTTTTTTTTTTTTTTTTTTTTTTTTTTTTTTTTTTTTTTTTTTTTTTTTTTTTTTTTTTTTTTTTTTTTTTTTTTTTTTTTTTTTTTTTTTTTTTTTTTTTTTTTTTTTTTTTTTTTTTTTTTTTTTTTTTTTTTTTTTTTTTTTTTTTTTTTTTTTTTTTTTTTTTTTTTTTTTTTTTTTTTTTTTTTTTTTTTTTTTTTTTTTTTTTTTTTTTTTTTTTTTTTTTTTTTTTTTTTTTTTTTTTTTTTTTTTTTTTTTTTTTTTTTTTTTTTTTTTTTTTTTTTTTTTTTTTTTTTTTTTTTTTTTTTTTTTTTTTTTTTTTTTTTTTTTTTTTTTTTTTTTTTTTTTTTTTTTTTTTTTTTTTTTTTTTTTTTTTTTTTTTTTTTTTTTTTTTTTTTTTTTTTTTTTTTTTTTTTTTTTTTTTTTTTTTTTTTTTTTTTTTTTTTTTTTTTTTTTTTTTTTTTTTTTTTTTTTTTTTTTTTTTTTTTTTTTTTTTTTTTTTTTTTTTTTTTTTTTTTTTTTTTTTTTTTTTTTTTTTTTTTTTTTTTTTTTTTTTTTTTTTTTTTTTTTTTTTTTTTTTTTTTTTTTTTTTTTTTTTTTTTTTTTTTTTTTTTTTTTTTTTTTTTTTTTTTTTTTTTTTTTTTTTTTTTTTTTTTTTTTTTTTTTTTTTTTTTTTTTTTTTTTTTTTTTTTTTTTTTTTTTTTTTTTTTTTTTTTTTTTTTTTTTTTTTTTTTTTTTTTTTTTTTTTTTTTTTTTTTTTTTTTTTTTTTTTTTTTTTTTTTTTTTTTTTTTTTTTTTTTTTTTTTTTTTTTTTTTTTTTTTTTTTTTTTTTTTTTTTTTTTTTTTTTTTTTTTTTTTTTTTTTTTTTTTTTTTTTTTTTTTTTTTTTTTTTTTTTTTTTTTTTTTTTTTTTTTTTTTTTTTTTTTTTTTTTTTTTTTTTTTTTTTTTTTTTTTTTTTTTTTTTTTTTTTTTTTTTTTTTTTTTTTTTTTTTTTTTTTTTTTTTTTTTTTTTTTTTTTTTTTTTTTTTTTTTTTTTTTTTTTTTTTTTTTTTTTTTTTTTTTTTTTTTTTTTTTTTTTTTTTTTTTTTTTTTTTTTTTTTTTTTTTTTTTTTTTTTTTTTTTTTTTTTTTTTTTTTTTTTTTTTTTTTTTTTTTTTTTTTTTTTTTTTTTTTTTTTTTTTTTTTTTTTTTTTTTTTTTTTTTTTTTTTTTTTTTTTTTTTTTTTTTTTTTTTTTTTTTTTTTTTTTTTTTTTTTTTTTTTTTTTTTTTTTTTTTTTTTTTTTTTTTTTTTTTTTTTTTTTTTTTTTTTTTTTTTTTTTTTTTTTTTTTTTTTTTTTTTTTTTTTTTTTTTTTTTTTTTTTTTTTTTTTTTTTTTTTTTTTTTTTTTTTTTTTTTTTTTTTTTTTTTTTTTTTTTTTTTTTTTTTTTTTTTTTTTTTTTTTTTTTTTTTTTTTTTTTTTTTTTTTTTTTTTTTTTTTTTTTTTTTTTTTTTTTTTTTTTTTTTTTTTTTTTTTTTTTTTTTTTTTTTTTTTTTTTTTTTTTTTTTTTTTTTTTTTTTTTTTTTTTTTTTTTTTTTTTTTTTTTTTTTTTTTTTTTTTTTTTTTTTTTTTTTTTTTTTTTTTTTTTTTTTTTTTTTTTTTTTTTTTTTTTTTTTTTTTTTTTTTTTTTTTTTTTTTTTTTTTTTTTTTTTTTTTTTTTTTTTTTTTTTTTTTTTTTTTTTTTTTTTTTTTTTTTTTTTTTTTTTTTTTTTTTTTTTTTTTTTTTTTTTTTTTTTTTTTTTTTTTTTTTTTTTTTTTTTTTTTTTTTTTTTTTTTTTTTTTTTTTTTTTTTTTTTTTTTTTTTTTTTTTTTTTTTTTTTTTTTTTTTTTTTTTTTTTTTTTTTTTTTTTTTTTTTTTTTTTTTTTTTTTTTTTTTTTTTTTTTTTTTTTTTTTTTTTTTTTTTTTTTTTTTTTTTTTTTTTTTTTTTTTTTTTTTTTTTTTTTTTTTTTTTTTTTTTTTTTTTTTTTTTTTTTTTTTTTTTTTTTTTTTTTTTTTTTTTTTTTTTTTTTTTTTTTTTTTTTTTTTTTTTTTTTTTTTTTTTTTTTTTTTTTTTTTTTTTTTTTTTTTTTTTTTTTTTTTTTTTTTTTTTTTTTTTTTTTTTTTTTTTTTTTTTTTTTTTTTTTTTTTTTTTTTTTTTTTTTTTTTTTTTTTTTTTTTTTTTTTTTTTTTTTTTTTTTTTTTTTTTTTTTTTTTTTTTTTTTTTTTTTTTTTTTTTTTTTTTTTTTTTTTTTTTTTTTTTTTTTTTTTTTTTTTTTTTTTTTTTTTTTTTTTTTTTTTTTTTTTTTTTTTTTTTTTTTTTTTTTTTTTTTTTTTTTTTTTTTTTTTTTTTTTTTTTTTTTTTTTTTTTTTTTTTTTTTTTTTTTTTTTTTTTTTTTTTTTTTTTTTTTTTTTTTTTTTTTTTTTTTTTTTTTTTTTTTTTTTTTTTTTTTTTTTTTTTTTTTTTTTTTTTTTTTTTTTTTTTTTTTTTTTTTTTTTTTTTTTTTTTTTTTTTTTTTTTTTTTTTTTTTTTTTTTTTTTTTTTTTTTTTTTTTTTTTTTTTTTTTTTTTTTTTTTTTTTTTTTTTTTTTTTTTTTTTTTTTTTTTTTTTTTTTTTTTTTTTTTTTTTTTTTTTTTTTTTTTTTTTTTTTTTTTTTTTTTTTTTTTTTTTTTTTTTTTTTTTTTTTTTTTTTTTTTTTTTTTTTTTTTTTTTTTTTTTTTTTTTTTTTTTTTTTTTTTTTTTTTTTTTTTTTTTTTTTTTTTTTTTTTTTTTTTTTTTTTTTTTTTTTTTTTTTTTTTTTTTTTTTTTTTTTTTTTTTTTTTTTTTTTTTTTTTTTTTTTTTTTTTTTTTTTTTTTTTTTTTTTTTTTTTTTTTTTTTTTTTTTTTTTTTTTTTTTTTTTTTTTTTTTTTTTTTTTTTTTTTTTTTTTTTTTTTTTTTTTTTTTTTTTTTTTTTTTTTTTTTTTTTTTTTTTTTTTTTTTTTTTTTTTTTTTTTTTTTTTTTTTTTTTTTTTTTTTTTTTTTTTTTTTTTTTTTTTTTTTTTTTTTTTTTTTTTTTTTTTTTTTTTTTTTTTTTTTTTTTTTTTTTTTTTTTTTTTTTTTTTTTTTTTTTTTTTTTTTTTTTTTTTTTTTTTTTTTTTTTTTTTTTTTTTTTTTTTTTTTTTTTTTTTTTTTTTTTTTTTTTTTTTTTTTTTTTTTTTTTT